ATTGACAGCTCTGCGCGCTGCATCTGTCTGTCAGGTCAGCAGGTCAGGAGGCAAACAGCTTGATCCGTCTGATTTCTCCTCTTTTTTACTTCGTTTGGAGAGTTTGTTTAACACATATCTGACAACATACATGGCTTGTTGTGCGGTTAACAGACCATCCAAGAAGTTGATGCTTCAGGTTTTTTCGGTAAGTGTTATAGTAGTGTTATATTTACTGCTTACTCGTGTGTTTATATTTACGGACCTAGCTTGTTTAGCGTTAGCTTGTAAACCAGTCGGCTAACTGTGTAGCTCATTATTTACATTATTTACGGTCAATGGTTTAGAAATGTTTGTTGTTAAGATGTTGTTGTTGAAAATAGTCAGTTTGTGGATTCAGTAGCAGGTTGAAGTGTTGGTATTCCCAGTATTCCAGTATAACAAGTACTCCCAGTATCCCCTCCTCCTCCTGTCCTCTCTCAGTGGAAGTCGTGCTGGTTTGTGTCTGCAGGTTGGTCCGTCTGTCAGCGTGTGTGTCTCTTCAGAGTGAGGCAGAATAACAGCCTGTTTCCTGGTTTGTCTCAGGTGAGACAGGTGAGGGGGCGGAGCTTCTTCAGAGCAGGAACACAGAAAACAGTCTCGTTTCTCTTCCTGCAGCTTGAAGTGAAATCTCTAAGACAATCTTCTTGTTATTAGTTCCACTACATCGCTGTCCGAAACTCTTTAAACCACATTAGCAAAGATACAACACAACAATACGGGCAAATACATTTAAATGAGATATGGTGAAAGTCAAGCTGTAACTTTTATGTTGAGGTAGTGTATTATAAAATGTGTGAATGTGTGTGTGGCAGTGTGATGCATCGAAGAGAGGAGCTGAGTGGGAAGCAAAGAGAAAACAAACTAAAACTAAAAAAATAAGTCAATATACAGTTTATATAAATATTAATGGAAAGAAAATGTATACAAAATAATAATGAAATAAAAGGTATAGTGATGAGGCCTCGTGTCCACCTAGTGTTTTTCTCCAGGAAGAAAAAAGCGCGGGCTGTCCTCACGGGATCGCTCGCATGCTGCACATCCATTCTGTCAAGCTACCAGACCAACTTCCGGACTTGTTCTGTGCCGGGACTTGAACTGGCAACCCTCTGATTCCCAACCCAAGTCCCTACAGACTGAGCTACTGTACACCCACTGGTTTCAGTCTGATGAGCATTTAGCATCTGATCAACATTGCCCTGCCTCCAAAGATAATAGCCCTGATAAAAGTCTGATCGGACACAAATGCTGGCAGGCATTTCACAGAGGCAAAGCACAACATTGCCAGCTGTTCTTGGGAGCTCAATCATTATAGAAACCATCTTAAAATCATGGTTATCAAACAAAACCATCGTCATTACCATCATCATCAATAATAATTTGGTTATGTTGTCTTGATTTGGTTGTGTTGTCTTTGGTTGTGTTGTCTTTGATTGTGGTGTCTTGATTTGGTTGTGTTGTCTTTGGTTGTGATGTTTTGATTTGGTTGTGTTGTCTTGATTTGGTTATGTTGTCCTGATTTGGTTGCGTTATCTTGATTTGGTTGTGTTGTCTTTGGTTGTGGTGTCTTGATTTGGTTGTGTTGTCTTGATTTGGTTATGTTGTCCTGATTTGGTTGTGTTATCTTTGTTTGGTTGGTTAACTTTGTTGATGGTTATTTTCTGCAGCAATTGTTTTCTTAAAGCTCCTGGGAGAATTGTTTTGGTTGGTGATGGAGCTCAACTAAACTGATATTGTTAAATGGTTTATAAAAGCTAAAAAGACCTTAAGATAGAAGATATTTTCTTCTGTGAAGTTATTCTTATTCGTTTCTGCTTTCAGCGGGTTGGTGTCATTTTCTACAGCAAAGATTCAGAGGAAGGGAAACAAACTGTCTGGATTTTGGAGAATAGGGTTCTATGATGGTAAATACACAGCACACTCCTCATCACATCCAGTCACTGATCTCTCAGTGAAGAAGAATCCTCAGAGGATCAGAGTGAATCTGGACTGTAACAGAGGAGAGCTGTCCTTCTCTGATCCTGATACTAACACACACATACACACCTTCACACACACTTTCACTGAGAGGATGTTTCCATACATTAACACTGGTGATAAACTAAAGATTTTACCAGAGAAGATCTCTGTGACTGTGGAACACTAATACATGATGATGATGATGATGTTCTGAATCTTCGTCTCTGATTCTCTTAGGGTTGTGTGACTGCGTTGTCATGGTGATGGTGATGTTGTTTTATTAAATCATTCGTTATAACTTTGAGTATTTCCACAGCAGGTAAAATCTTGATCCTGATTGGTTGGTTTGTTGGAGTCTATTTAAAGATAATCTGCTCAGCGTGTTAACTGGTTAACTGTCATCTGTTGCTTCAGCTGCTGTGAACGTTTGATTTCTGACTTTTTCACTTGAACTCAAAGGAGTCCCTGAAGGCATCATCTGTATCTTTGTGTGCATTATGAGTTATTATCCTGCATGGAGAGAATAAAACAGTAATGATTATTATCTGATCTGAAATCACTCTACAGTTGTAGAATAATAACTTCAGATCATCACGTTTTCCTCTTCTTACTAAATCGTAGTTCCATCTTTAATCTTGTTGGTGTAGTCAGGGCTGTAACCAGGGTTTAGAAAATAGTGAGGTCCAGAATTCTTTCTGTTAATATATCGTATTCAAGGCATTTTGGGACATGCAAGATTCATGGCCAAATGATACCTTCAAATTCAACAGAAGCTAAACACCCAACCAACACAAACTCACACACACATTCACTTCCTGTATGTAAAGTGAATGATCTGTAGATCACGTGCAGCCCGAACCACAGGTGGTTATCCAAACAGAGCATCCATGACATTCAAAAGTAAACATTTTAAGCAGCTTTCATTTCTTTTCCTGCATTCTGGTCAGTTTTTATTCACCATTTTTTGTTTTGTTTCTGCAGAACTTTATGATTCTTATCTCGTCTTTTTGTCCTTTTTGTGTCTTATGCACAATAATGAATGCATTCATTGAATATTTTATAAACATGTGGACTGGACAGTTGACTCTGCACTATTCCAGCCCTGCAAAGTTTCTGTTTACAAGTAGCCAATATGTAAAAGTGATATATAATTTAGTACGGCATTATTTTGTTTATGAACTTGTAAGAATGGCAAACTTTGAACTTTTAAACAAAATGATCCAGATTGTGATTAATTTTCTGTGACAAATGGTCATACAGTGATCTTATCTTTGATGTTTGTTTGGTTTATTGTTGTTCTTGTTTTAAGAGGGGTTAGGACAGTTTGATGACTATCGCACAAGAGAGAGAGAGAGAGGGAGAGAGAGGGAGAGAGAGAGAGAGAGCGTTTTTTAAATTTTTCCTTACTTATTCTTCGGGGGCTCCAAATAACTCAACATTAATCCTGTTTTTAAAAGTTTGAGTCATTCTGGAGCTTCATTCTACAAAGGTATGGCTCCGTAGATTTGTTATCATGTTTGAAATGTCAAATATCAGACCTGAAGACTGTCTTTGTCAAAGCTTTTGTTCATGTTTCTTTACCATCTTCATCTTCAGTGGATGAAACGTCCTCTGAAGAATCCAAACTAAGAACGCTTTATGTTCTTTGAAAACAACAAAGAGTTCAAAATAAAGAGTCAAAATATCTTGTTAGTGTGAATCCTCTGTCACCTGTAATCACTTATCAATAAAGTATTTCTACACTTGATCTGAATCCGTCTTTATAACTCGTGTTGTGTGTTTTATTGATGCTTGTAAACGTCATCATGGACGACTCTTTCTCCTGACAGAATGAGTTTGTCTCTGTGATTAATAATAAAGTTATTCTTATTAAGTCAGGTGTTTCTTTAACTCCAGTCTGAACCTGCGACATGTGAAATCAAGTCGATCAGTGTCGTCTCTGACTCGTCCATCAGGTCGGACAGGAGAAAAGAAATGTCCTGAAGGGAAAGAGTTTGATTCAGAGATCCAACGAGCTCTGGAGAACACGGGTTCATTATTGAAGGTTAACCACCTGATGAACATCACATGTCAGTTATTGAACACTTTAACCGTTTGAAGATTTATTAGAGGAGGAACAGCAGCTCACAGCGACACTTAACCCCCTCCACCACGTTAAGCTGATGATTCTTGGAGGGAACATTCAAAATATTGATTGTAATTCAACGATTGAAACTTTATTCCTTTTTAGGAAATTATTAAAAATAAAAAACTGTTTAAAGAGAAGTTGAAGCTGAACTACGCAGGGTTTCTAAAACTAGAATGATTTTGAAAGCAGCATTCCCTCAGTGCTCCGTCTGCACCCCCTCCCCTCTGTGCTCCCTCTAAAGCCACGCCCCCTCACTTACAAACGCCGTCTCTCCAGAAATGGACCTCAGCTCATCTCTTGCTTTGTGTAGAAACTACGTCGTCTCATGTCTCATTCAGCGGTCAGTAAACTCACAGTTTAAACTCCTAAAGTCATCGGAGTGTGAGCTAGAGCACGCAAGAGGTAGAGAGCGAGCAGGGAGACGGGGAGGCGTCTGATTGGTTCATCAGATTGGTACCTCGTGGCAGACATTGGTTGAAGTTTTTACAGACTTACAAACTGATACAGATGATGGATTTTCTTTGTTCCTTTTTCAGAGAACATGAGTTATTAATTTCTGTCAGGACCTAAAGACAATTTACACCAAAATCTGAAAAAAGTGGATCTGGAGGAAATGACCAACTGGACTATTTTAAAGTCCAGTTATAGTCATACTGAGACAATAAATCCACTTTTGTAAACATCATGTAAACGTACTGACTGATTCATTTTATCAAAGAGACTCTAGCTGGAAAAAAGTTTATTTGCTGTCATCGAAACCAACAAGAAAAAAAAACACATATCAGTTACGTCTTATGAGTAAAAGAAGAAGTCCTGTTCATGTTGATTTCATTATCTCCTACACGGGTAGCTCCTGTAGGATTTAACACCATTTCCCATAATCCCACCTTTGTCACTAAAGCGTTAATCTATTCTCTTCAGCGTGCGTGGTGACGTGGCGGCGCAGGTGGCTGCTGGAGATGAAGATCTTGCCGCAGTGCGAGCACCTGAACTGCTTGCAGTCCGTGTGCACGCTCATGTGGACCTTCAGGGATCCCGACTGGGCGAAGCGTTTGCCGCAGTGGACGCAGTTGTAGCGTTTCTCTCCCGTGTGCACCCTCTGGTGGCGTTTCAGGTTGCTGGGGTCGGAGAAGCGTTTTCCGCAGAGCATGCAGACGTACGGCTTCTCGCCCGTGTGGACCCTCATGTGGGTCTTCAGGTTCTTCAGGCAGGCCAGAGTTTTCCCGCAGTAGTTGCACACAAACGTTTTCCCCGCGCTGTCCTCCCCGCTGTTACTGGACACCCTGCTCGCGGCGTCCAGATGTCTCCACCGGTCCCGTCTGAGGAAAGCACTTTGCCTCTCTCTCGTCTCTTTTCTCGCAGGAAGCTGCAGCGCCATCTGCTGGTTGTTCTGTAAGCCTGCAGGCTGTCTGCACTCTGCCACCGGCGGGCTCAGCTCCCCGACGGTGAAAGAAACGCTGCCCGAATCGGACGCAGCTGAAACTCTCCCTCTGGTGTTCGACGCGTACGAGCAGCTGGGATCCTCTGGCAAAGGATTCTGGGTACTCATTGAGCCGTGCTGAAGCTGTGGCTCGAACATCAGACAGTCGAAGCTGCCGGTTTCTAAACTCTGGCTGGTGTTTGTCGTATTCTGGACGCACACTGAAGTGGAGCTGACTTCCTCGCTCGCCCAAGCTCGAGTAGAACCGCCACCTTCCTCCGTTACTTCCTGTTTAGTCAGCAGGGGCGGAGCTTCTGCGTCTGTCGTCTGTTCGTCAACAACAGGAATAAGATCTGCTGGAGAGAGAGAAAGAGAAATATCTTACCTTTCTTACATTTTCAGTATTCAGATAAAGAGCAGGTGTAGTGCGTACCTCTTGTCACATTAGTCTCAGAGACTCATCATGAATCATAAAAAAAAAACGTCCTTTAAAGCCTCGCTCACACTGTGAGATTTTCCCCCGATCGTATCAAAGTCGTGGTGGCACGTCAGCTCGCACTGTACGACCTGATTGTCGGACACGTCCAGAGAGCTCACACTGTACGAGTGAAATTAGGACGGAGCGTTGACAGTTGTTAATAAAGTTTCATTTGAAAACCCCAACGGACGACGGCCGGTGAAAGAGAAGGAAGTGGAAGTTGTTGTAGGATTTAGGAAAGTTGATACAATCGTAGATATATGGAGACAAGTTTCAGAAAAGTGCTGCGCTGATGATCTGTACTGGAAAGTAAAAAAATAAAAGAAACGCCGTGTTGCGTCCTGCCGCTGGTCGCCATGACTACAGTCCTCCCTTGTCTCTCATGATTATATTGTAGTCACACATAACTTCTGCCGGACCCCTTCATGATCGTCAAGATTTTAAATTCTAAATATAAAACATGTTTGAAATAAATCGGGGCGTCCCCGACGATCGCCGGGCAGATCGGGGACGTTAAGATTGGATCTTTGGACCACTCACACTACGAGATAATCTGAACAGAGAATCGGGTCCGAGCAGCCTCGAGTCGGGAGAGACCCTGAGACTGTCAGGAAGGAAGAATCAGAGCTCAACAACAGGGCCCTGGTAGTGCTGGGCGATATATCATGAAGCTCGATTCCATCGATATTTAATTAATGCTTGATATGGAAAAGGGAACATCCATTTTATTTTTTAAACCACTTCAAAGTTTTCTCGCGATATTTCGTTGCTCCGCGAGATTTCCGCGGCAGCGCTTGTTGCTCGGAGACGAAAGGGCGGAGGAGACTTCACTCCTGCTGCTGAGGAGCCTCGCTCTTATAAGCGACCAACACGGAGGAGAAAGAGAAAGATGCGAGCGAGGCCGAATTACTTCCAAAAAAAGGTTCATAACGCAGAGCTCAACATCACAAGTGTCCCACTGACCCGGATGAAGGATTGACAGTCCAGCTGATTGCAGGTTCAGCTGGAGGCTTCACTGCTGTCACTTCACTCGCTACACTCGAGTTGTTCACACTCAGATCTGAGAGCAGGTTTTCTCTGATAAAACACACGTTTGGTAAAACGGTTTTAAAACCATCAGATCCCGACAAAAGCCGAGTTTAAATCAGAATTCAAAGAGAAACAAATCACCAGAAGAGTGGAGAGTGACAGCAGGACGAAAACAGAGAAAAGTTTGATCCACAGTGACAGACAGCTGGAGGAGCTGGAACACGTTAAAGTTAGAGACTAGATCCTGCTAAAGATAAAAGTTATTCACAAACATGTTAGCCCTAAAGAGAGCTCCTAAAGTAAAGATGTAAGGATGAAGAGTTTCTCACAGAGAAGAAAGAAGGAGAGATTCCAGATCTATCACAGCCTCATATTAAGTAGACTCTTACAGCATGGTGAATAAACATGAGCACATAAATATAAGAAAAATACACAATATGTTTATAATTAGAGCTCAATTAATAAATCTTGCATCAGAATGGTTCAAGAGTAAATTGGTGACTTTTATTTTTAGAATCTAAAGTAATGTTCCTGGATCAGTGATATTTTTTTTTATACAGTGGAGATTCAGTTTTATAGGCTACATTTATAAACTTTAATACGATAAATATCGAGTCATATCGACATTAGGCAAAAAAATATTGTGATATCAAATTTAGGCCATATCGCCCAGCCCTAGGTCCTGGGTCTTGTAGTTTTTTGCTGATGGCTAGTTGTAGTTTAAACCAATAATAATAGAAAAAGCAGTTATCAATCTAGACGTGAAAATGAAAGATCATGTCTACATGTGGTTGTCGGTGTCCATCACTCAAACTGTACTCACTGTCCTGAGCAGAGCAGCCCCAGGTCTCATCGTCGTCCTCCACTTTGATGACCGCGGTCGTCGGTTTGGCCGTCTCACCTGCAGCCGGCTGTAACGGAGCGCACAGAGAGCGAACACGATAAGAGCGAGGATGGTAATAAGGTCAGGAACTAGGACGGGAGAGGAGAGCGTCTCGTACTCACCGTCCCCTGTGTGGCGCCCCGTCCGGAGGATGGATCGATGTCTTCACACCGCAGTGTCTGAGCAGGTGCTCTGCACAGCACCAGCTCACCTGGAGGACGTGATAACACCTTTAAAGATCACGCACCTTCAGACGCACTGAGGTCACTATTTCATGAACAACGGATTCGTTTATACTTTAACACGACACAAAATGCTGCAAGTCCTCCTATTTAAGAAGCTTTAACCAGATACGAGGGATACATCGGTTCAACATCTGTATCGGCCGATAGCGAGCGAGTGACAGCGACTAAATCAGCTTGATTCTATTTTTCATTGTATTGGAGTGTCCTAACTGCCTACAGCGACGCAGAACGCCGTTTTAACCCTGACGTCCCGTTTTATTTTCCTCTGTCGCTCTCTAGCAGGGTCGAGGAAGGAGGAGGCTCTACGAGGCGTGATACTCGTTAGCTTGTTTCACAAAGTGGGGAAAGTCCTGCATTAACAATATACACATACGTGATAGAAATGTTGAGCTGTGACTTGTTTTAACACCGGAGAAAAAACTTGATTATTGACAAGCCTCTGAGAAGAGCTCACCACACTTCAGTTTGTCCACCTTCAAAATAAAAGCACCACATGTCATACTGTTTGCAAAGGGGAGCTGAAATTATCCTAGCAGAGAAGTAAATATTTATGGGATGCAGAGCGGACAGCGATCGTGCACAATGCAACATGATATCTAACGCTTGCGTGTTGATAGGAGACGGTGTTATTGTGAGAATATTTTATCCTTCATCAAATCAAAACTGATGAGTCATCAAAACATTCACCCCCCCCGTACAGTGTGTGTCCATCCAGACATGAGCTAATCACACCTATTTGTTTTTTGAACCAGGCTGTAAACATGTTCATCTCTGCTGTAAAAACAGGCTTTTTAGAATGGGTGTGTATGTGACTTCCTGTGCTTCTGCAGCCAGCCTCTAGTGGACACTCCAGGAACTGCAGGATTGTGCACCTTCAAAATAAAAGCACCACATGTCATAGTATTTGTAAAGGGGAGCTGAAGTTATCCTAGCAGAGAAGTAAATATTTATGGGTTCAGGGTGGACAGCGATCGTACACAATGCAACATGATATCTAACGTTTGACGTTATAAATCAAGATGAAACTAATAAATAACTTTAAATATCGGACTCAAAACTCTGCGGAACTGACACAGGACAAGTCGAATATTACCAGGAACGTAACACCAGAGTTTGGTTTAATATAAATCACACAAAAAATACTTTAATACGAGTTTATCAGCGGAGCATGACTCATCAGTAACTTACCTCTGACCGTGCTGAAGACTGCTGTGGCGGGAGCACGCACACACACACACACATACACACACACGCACGCATTCACGCGCACGTGCATGCGCACACACACACACACACACACACACACACACACACACACACAAACTCCGGTCGATAAAAAAAAACGCAAAACATATAAAATGAAAAATTTGTGTTTTGGTGAAATTCATAAGCTGTCTATATCAACCTGTTACATATAGCCTACCCCCCCCCCCCACACCCCATATATCTCATCATGAATGAAGAAAAGGAAAAAGTAGGCGCTATACCGTACAAGTCATAAAATATACAAAGTGCAGCAAATATTTAAACAATAGTGCAGTAAGAGCACGCTGTGTCATTCATTTGTAGAGCGTGGTTATAAGAGCCGACATTTTCAGTACAAACACATAAAACACATTCATTACATTATTACCACTTCTTCTACGCAGATGACACTCAGCTTTATCTACCGGTCAAACCAAACAATCTTGCAGAACTCACCACTCTTACACAATGCCTTGAAGACATAAAACACTGGATGGCCCATAACTTCCTACAATTAAATGAGTCAAAAACCGAAGCTGTTCTTTTTGGCCCCCCCGACATCATCAAACAGGTCTCCAACAGCTTAGGTCACTTATACAGCCACATTAGGCCCCACGCCAGGAACCTTGGCTTTATCTTCGACTCAGGCTTTACATTTGATCGGCAGGTAAATTCAGTTGTCAAATCCAGTTTCTTTCAGCTCCGTACAATTTCCAAGTTAAAACCTATCCTCTCATTCAGTGACTTACAGACATTAACCCATGCGCTCATTTCATCCCGGCTTGACTACTGCAATTTTTTATATACCAGGATAAGCCAGTCGTCCCTGTCCCATCTGCAGCTGGTCGAAAATGCTGCAGCAAAGCTGCTGACTGGAACCAAGAAGAGGGAGCATATCAGTCCTGTCCTAACGTCCCTTCATTGGCTCCCAGTAAGATTCAGAATCGATTTTAAGATTGTGATGTTTGTTTTTAAAGCCCTGAATGGCCTGGCCCCCCTTTATATTACCGACCACCTCAGGCCGTACACCTCTTCTAAGCGCCTGAGATCATCAGACATGGGCCTCCTGGCTGTTCCCCGCTCACGGCTCAAGCTAAAGAGAGAGCGGGCCTTTTCAGTAAAAGCCCCTAAACTGTGGAACAGCCTCCCTCATTCAATCAGGTCTGCACCCTCTGTTGACTCTTTTAAGTCCCGTCTCAAGACATACTTTTATATTTTAGCATTTGAGTCCCCTGGTCCTGAACAGACCATCTCTTTCAGGTTCCTTTGTTGCTTTCTTTATTTTGTTGCTTTCTTTATATATTCTTTCTTTTTATTTATATATATGTATACATATATATATTTCTCTCTTGTGGACATTGTGATCTGAAGTTGTTTTTCTTTTTTAATGTATTGTAAAGCACTTTGGTCAGCTGTAGCTGTTTTTAAATGTGCTTTTTAAATAAATATGACTTGACTTGACTATTTTATGCAGATTGAAAAATAAAATAATAAATATGAATGTAAGGAGGAAATCGAGGAGAGGGATTATACATTTGGGTTCTGATACACAACTTCACTTTGAAGGAGGTGTAAAGAGGCCCCAGACTTTCCATAAATCACTCAGCTTATCTTTAAAGTTCCCATATTATACACATCACACTTCACCATGTTTCTCTAAAACTAATATATAAGTCAGTAAGTAAGTAAAAGTTTATTATATAGCACCTTTCAAGAGCAGACATCACAAAGTGCTTCACAATAAAACAAAAACAGAGTACAAACAGTCACATAAAATCAAATACAGACAGATCAAACAAAGGCAAGTCTGAACAGATAGGTCTTTAGCTGCTTTTTAAAAGTGCCACAGAGGTCAATATGTTTCTGTAGTCTGTCTCCAAACCCCCCAATGATGACATCAGTCCATCCTTTCAATCTTTTGCCTGCTCTACTTTTCAGTAAATGTGTGCTCAAACAGTCCATTAATGCATGGTCACTTAAAGTTTCTGGATTTGAAGCATTAAAGAAAGACATGTTGGTTGTAACATGACACACATGCACCCACCTTCAGCCCAGGAGAGATTTCCTCTGCAAGGCTGGCCAGCCAAGAGCCCTTCCACAGTTGCGCTGTTAAACCACCAGGCGGCGACAAACTAACATAAATGTGACAGCCACATCAATTTAGCAGAAATTCAACATAGAGGTTAATTCTAACTCTGTTACACTGCTTGAAAAGTGCAGTTAAGGTTTAACGAAGAACAGGAGACAGTACTGTTCCTGTTGGTCTTCCCCCTGGGCAGCCTGAACCTCCGACCAGACGGGAGAAGAACAAAGTCCTCCAAGAGAGGACGACGGTCAGAGCTGGCCAAGATCGACTTTGCTCTCCTCACAATTTGTCTGTTTCAGATATCTGACAATGAAAGCCTCTGAGTGCTGATTATTGTACTTGCTGTTTTAATGATACTGGACAGAAGGTTTGTGTTGTGCACTGAAAGGTTATTACCATGACATGAAAACAAAAGGTTAAAAATGGAACCAATAAAAGATTGGTAGAATAAAACCATCAGGGTCTTGCCCACATTCAAAGTATTCAGTCTATGCAGAAAGTAGAGTCTCCGCAGTTCCTCTTTGCAGATTGCATTTGTGTTGTGGTCATGATTCAAGTTCTTTTCAATCCCTGTGCCCAGGTACTTCTACAAGTCAACATTCTCCACAGGTGTGCCTTTGATTAGAGTTGGGAAAGGTTGAATGGGAGGTTTTCCGTAAGTGGATGGGCATCTCTTCAGATTTATTAACGTTGAGCTTCAAGAAGTCCCACCACTCCACAAAATCTTTTACAAATGGCCCGTGATCGACCTCTCCCTCCTGGAGCAGACTAATTAAAACAGTGTCGTCTGCAAACGTTGGGAGAAGCCTGTTGTCAAAGTTGCTCCTGCAGTCATTTGTATACAAAATATACAGTGAAGGGGACAGGACACACACCTGGGGTTGGCCTGTGGATGACAACCACTTCACTGATAGAGCACCAGTCGCCCTGACTGCCTGGGGCCTGTAAGTTAAGAAGTCCAAGATCCATTTCACCAACCCAGCATCAAGGTTACAAGTGGACAGCAGTTTATTTTCTAAAATGTGGGGTTGGATGGCATTAAAAGCGGAGGAGAAATCTACTAATAAAAGCCTTGAATGTGTTGAGTATAGGCCCAAGATGCAGACTCAGGTCTCTGGAATGTCTGGGTTACATTCATTTATTTTTACCGGTTATATAAGTCCTCATTATCCAGTTGTATTGAATCAATTTCAGTCTAGTATTTATGTACTGTTCCAGTATGTATGCACTACGTTAGTGTGACACAGCCATAGAGTTCTATACAATCCGACCAATAGAGTTGCCCCCTGCTGGACATTAGAAATAATGCAGGTTTATGAATGCATGTTTGTAGGGGTTACATCTTCCTCTAAATGTCCCAAATCTCCTCCATGCAGAGCAACATGGACTCAGATCTTCAGGAGAAAATCAGGAAACTGTGGACCCAAAAACTGAAGCTACAAACTAAAACAAAGAAAAACAACATCTTCTTTGTTATGAATGAAAATCACCTTCATCAGTCTTCAATGTTCAGACTCGTCACACCAGAGATATTTAATCTGTGTATAACAGACCCTGTTACAGGCCTGATGACGTGGTGACGTATCGTTAGCTTGCTGTTAGTTAAAGGGGAAATGTGCAGATGTTTAACCAGCTGTGTATCACTACAGTAGAGATATTATATGTAAATGAACAATGTGTCACTCCCTCAGTGTTAACTGTGAGGAAAGCTTCCTGCTCATGTACGGGCCGATTCAAACTACAACCTGTACTTCTGCATTTTTTCTGTGCTTGCTCACAGAGAGGCGCCCTGAGAGAGGGGCGGAGCCAGAATCAAGACATCCCATCTGAGATCAGCTGGTGAGAACACACGTGATCAATCCACTGTTTCATCATCTGTACCGTGCCCAAGCACGCTTCAACCCTAAAAAAC